GGAAGAAAAATTTATTATTTAGACGAGACATGGGTGAACGCGGGGCATACGCAGGGAAAGGTTTGGGTAGACAGATCTGTGAGGTCCTCGTCCTCAAGGCAGGCTTTTTTAGATGGCCTTTCGACGGGATTGAAAAATCCTGCAGGTAAGTTTCGAAGTATATGAACTTTTTTGGATGCAAATAATTCATTTTCTGATCGAATCAATGATTTGGAAGCTCCGAACTCAGTTTTGCTATCTCATCCAAGTTTCTGAGTATTTCCTTCACCCAAAAACTAATCTAAGACCCTATCCTACACTAACCTAAAAAGAGTAAGTTGCTTAATTTCGTCATTTAGTGCGCTCGCTGAGAAGTAAAATAACTAATTACTTTCAGGCAAGGGAAAACGCCTGATCATTTGCCACATAGGTAGCGTAGATGGATTTGTTCCTGAAGCATTGTGGGCTTTTGAATCCAAAAAAACTGGAGACTATCACGAAGAAATGGATGGTAACTCATTTGAAAATTGGTTCAAAAAAATTTTGCCGACACTTGATGATAACGCAACTATTGTGATGGATAATGCCCCGTACCACTCCAGAAAATTGGAAAAAATTCCAACAATGGTCACCAAAAAGGCAGACATTCAACAGTGGCTTGTCTCAAAGAAGATCGACTTCGACCAAACAATGGTCAAAGCTGAGCTGATAAATATAGTCAAGCGACATAAGTATAAATATGATTTAAAAATTGTTGACGAAATGGGCAAAAACCAAAATAAAACGATTCTCAGGCTGCCTCCCTATCACTGCGAACTGAATCCTATCGAGTTGATTTGGGCCGACATCAAGCAATACGTGGCGTCAAATAACAGCACTTTTAAGTTTTCTGACCTTAAAAAACTGTTTGATGTTGCTGTCGATAGAATTACGCCAGCAAAGTGGAGAACATGTATTGACCATGTCCAAGAGAAGGTTGAAACCAAAATGTGGGATATGGACAATATCATTGACACCCAAGTTGAACCCCTTATAATTGACATCAACAATTCTGATGATTCAAGCTCCTCGGAATACAGCATATAAATCGATTGATACCATTAAGACTGGCAGTTTAACGGGCTTTTTGGCAAGACAGGTAAGTTCATTATAGACTGCAATCAAAGTGTAAGTTTCTAGTTATTAATGTGGAAATTCCAAATTTATAATTACACAAAATTAGGGTTAATTTAGGAGTTCCAAAGCATAATAGTGCCATTTTGATCTTCTTCCTATTTCTCATGTAAATCTTAATAGCAATCAAACTAACAAACTTTATGGAGTCTGTAATAAATTTTTGTACTACTACTACTACGTCTGTAGTTTCTATTTGCTCAAAAAAATTTGCTCTGCATTGTGAATAGAAGGTTGATTTGTAAATATTATTGGGTATATATGTAAGTTAATAATAAAATATGAACAATTTCAATTGAGATGGTCCACAAGTTTTTTTCGTGTGCGTTTTAGTAACATTTTGCTGATATGGTGAATACAGAATTTTTTGCACTGATTCCTAATGTCGAAATATGATTAGAAAGGCGTGGTATATTCCTGATAATTTACTATGCTTTTAATAGAATTTACAGCAACACATATCTTGTACGACATTTTTTGATAGATCAGTCACAATACCTTGATACGGCCCTGTAGCGTCTCCTACGGTAAAGTTCTTGATCACGTGCAATACGGGTGTATATGTTTGATTTTACTTTGTTTCTTCGATGGATACAGTTTAGCACCGATCAGATATCGTACTTCGCGTTAGATCTGTACGGATCTGTATAACGCGCAGAACATGCTTATGCTTAAATGGCGCATTTGATTTTGTAGCGAGAGACAAAATCAAGCGCGTGCGGCTTGTGTCGAAGTAGTGCACAGACCCTTTTCAAGCGGCCCATGAATAATGTTACGCTGCGGTCGCGATGAAAACGACAAGTACACAATTGGTCGATTATAATGCTTTTTCTCAATACAAAACAGACTTGACGCAGTGTCTTGCGGGGGCAGCGTTGCCGGATTGTTTCTATTTGTGTGATAACATGAAGAATAAATGATCAAATTACTACTGCTTTTTACTGTTAAGACAAAATTTTTGGCACAGAACTTAAGGGCCAGACGCCCCTTTGGCAGAGATAGATGGAAGTAGCTGGGCTTTAATTATTTATAATTATTAGCCGTTTCAAATCTTCTTGCCCCAAAACCCTTGCAGACTGTACTAATTTCATGTAAAATCTTAATCGATCCAGTGAGATATTGGCTGATTTTAAATTAATTTCCTTTATCTTAGATTAAGTGAAATTCAGATATTAACGCCTCCTACAAAGTGGAACATTCAAGACTGCGGGATCGTGTTGTAATTACTGATAATCTTACCATCGTTTTTGTAAAATCTGATTGCAAGACATGAAAAATAAAGCAGTATAGCACACCATTATACCTGCATTGTTCAATGTAATAAGCAATAGAACTGCAAATTCTGAGACTGTATTGTTGTAACTCGTTTTCATCGGCCTGTCTGTTTGTCCGCTATATCTCGAGTTCTCGGACACAATTTTTTATACAATGCAATGCGATAGTCCAACTGCAACTACCTGACCCCGGTTACGATTCAGCATCCTCACGCCTTTCTCGTCGGAATATAAACACCACACCCCGTCGGTCTGTTCCCAGAAGTTGAACGAAATAACAAAGTTGGCGATAATTAAAGCCCTAGCTAGGCCACGACGGGTCCCACAATAGGCAATAATTCACTGGGCTCACAGAAAAGTACTGCATAACACTATTTTAATTGTGTTCCGTTCGTGTTTTGTGCGTTTGACTCTTTTGATATGGCGCACGACTCGTAGCGAGCGGGGTCTTTATTTTTATCTCGTTTCCTGTTCTTTGGAAACGAGGTAATCTATGGCAAATAGGTGGGGTGTTTGCGAAAAGCGCCAACAAGGCTGTAAAACGGTCAAGGGACAGTCGTAAAATCTGTTGTAATCTCGGTTTTGTGATTATCAGCACTACCGGATGATACCATTACCTGCCTGTTTAGGACAAAGAGCAATTTCACGCCTCATGGATGCATAACTTGACCAAGCGCCATTTGATAAATTTCCACATTTTGCTGCCATCTGATGCACAGTAGCTCAACTTACCTATAAAAAAATGCAGGCAGTAAGAGACCCGAGGTTGAAATGCGACAATATTTTTAACTAAGCGCCAAGCGTAATATTTGTTGTTATTTATTTTGCAACATATGACCAAACGACCACATTTTATGTAAAATGTAAAAGCTTGAAGAAAGATGGGATTGTTTTACACCAAATTTTTGCCAAAACTTGGTTAACACTATGCCCCAAAGAATAATAAAAAATAAAGGTGATGTTACCCAATGGTAATCTTTCAATTGTTGCTTTGTTAACTTCGCGCAATTTATTCGCACATTGCTTATTTGTTCATATGTTCTATTAGTTATAGGTCTAAGTGATTTCAAATATGTATTTTTTACGACGAGTGTATCTAAAATGTTTTTGAGAAAATAAATTGTATTAGAAGTAGTTTCGTCATGTTTAGTCATATTTTGGTACAAATCTTGAAGTGGGCCAACTGAAGTGGGAAGGGGCTCGTATTCTCAATAGGATTTAAGACTACTTTTTTGGGGTTGCACTTCACAACGCGCAACTTGAAAGAAATCTCCGTTCTACGATGAAACAGCTTTCCTTAAAAATGTCGGCAAATAAACTTGCAAAAACAGCCAAATAACGGACTTTTTCTGATATCCGAATCTCGCGAACCTCGGAAATGACATAATCCTCACCGTCGTAAATCGCCGAAACCGAAAGTATTTCCGATAATAAAACTTTTATCACGTTCGGTTCTCGCGCGTGGACGCAAAAACGCATAACGATTCGATCGGATCGGCTTTCGGTTGCGCGATTCCAACGATTTTGACAAAAACCTCTTTACAAAAACTCATTCAACATATTTACAATCCTTAAATCGCCCGGGGTTTTTCAACGACACGGCGGAGGTGACAGATTTACGAGATTAACGCCGATTGAAGCGAAACGGGGAGATTGCGTGATTTTGAAAATGTCTTGATGTTTTCCTTAATATGCTCTACAAATGGCACATTCAAACAATAATGTCTTGAAGAAACTTGCAATATAGCTGTTAGAAGTCCATATTATCGCCTGTTTTTATACAGGAATGATATCAACTGATTTGAAACCCGAGGAAGATATTCCAGACCATACACGTTCATCAGATCGTAGGCTTTTCTTATTTTCATAATAGTGTTAAAAATCTCTCAAGTATCGACTTCTGTCTGAAAAAAATGAGTCTACTAATATTTTTTCATGTAACGTAAATTTTTTATAATCCCCTTTTCTAATACTTGCTAATTTCTCACCGACATTTGTAAAAAAATACAAATTCATCGCATACTTATCGATTTCATGTGTTTCTGTTTTCAATTGAGTAATTTCATTTCCAGATCGTTGCTTTCCATTAAAAATATCATTAACAGACGGCAGTTTTTTGAGTCGTGTGAATTATCATTTGGTTTCTGAAAATAGTATCTTTGTTTTGTCGGTCTTACAAGTTCTATAAATTTATTTTTGTACTGATAATAATTTTATGTTTCATTAATTTCGTCTTTCTTTTTCATTTGCGGATTTTATCCATTTGTTTCTATCCTGCTCTTTATGGTTTAGTTTTACTTTGTTTGTCATATTTTCTATCATTTCTTTAATCTTGCTTATTAGTATGTTTGTGGTTTTATCTATGGTATTTGATAAATAAAGATCATTCCACGATTCCTTTTCGGCATTGGACACAGGATTTGTGACATTTTGGGTGTATCTTATGTATCTTGGGATCCTTAAATCAAATCTAAAAACAGACTTGTGTAACGTTGCTAACAGGTTGGTTAAGAGGCGACAATCGTTAGAGAGAACCGAGATACCGTACTACTGATTGATATTATCATTAAAGGTATTGGACCAAAATCGAAACTATATAATAATATAATATGCTAAATACTGTTAAGTATTTTAATTTACCATCAGCTTTGCGGCTCGTTAAGCATAGTGATGAACTTTCTGTCCCAGTTCCACCTGAATCTTATTCTTTGGATGAAAAAGTCGAATCCACCGAGTCTGAAAGTGATGTTACAGAAAGCGTAAAAATTTCCGATCCCACAGGGCGTACTTGATTCCTCTAAGCATAGTTTAAAACTGGTATTGGTACACAACGGTAATAAATATTCATCGATTCAGGTATCATATGAAAATATGTGAGTTCTGTTGTAATGAATATGGTTGGGCCATATGTACAGATTTAAAGGTAAAATAGCCCTTCTTGGAATGCAACTGGGATATACCAAATATTGTTGTTTTCCTCGTGAATGGGACAGTCGTACCCGAGATCGTCATCATGAACCAAAAACGTGTAGATTCCACCTTTGCATATTAAGTTGGGACTAATGAAAAATTTGGTGAAAGCTATGGATCGAAACGGAAGAGGGTTTCTGCATTTAAAACAAAACATTTCCGAGACTTGGTGACGCAAAAATTAAAGAGGGCATATTTGTCGGTCCACAAATCCGGAAAATCATGAAGGATGATGTAGTTGACAGTGCCCTAAATGAAACTGAATTACGAGCTTGGAATGCTTTTAAGTCAGTTACTGCAAGTGAAGGTAGACACCTATTAAGATATTGTTAGTGAACTAATTAATGCTTATAAAGGAATAGGAAGTAACATGTTTCTAAAAATTCACTTTTTGGATTCTCATCTCGATTTTTTTTTTCGGAAAATTTAGGTGCGATAAGTGATGAACATGGTGAACGGTTCCACCAAGCCATTTCTGCTATGGAAAAAAACGGTATCAAATGGAGTATCAATTTGCTTGGTGATTATTGCTGGATATTGTTGAGAGATACTTCAGGAACAACATATACGTTTATTTGAATGCTTATTAATACTCCTGTTTTCAAAGTTTTCTAAGTTTTCTAAGTATTCAAAGTTTTCTAAGTTTTCTAAGTTTTCCAAGTTTTCCAAGTTTTCTAAATTTTCTAAATTTTATAAGTTTTATAAGTTTTCTAAATTTTCTAAGTTTTTTAAGTTTTCTAAGTTTTTTAAGTTTTCAAGTTTTCAAACTTTCAAGTTTTCTAAGATTCCTAAGTTTTCTAAGTTTTCTAAGTTTTCTAAGTTTTCTAAGTTTTCTAAATTTTCCAAGTTTTCCAAGTTTTCCAAGTTTTCTAAATTTTCTAAATTTTATAAGTTTTATAAGTTTTCTAAATTTTCTAAGTTTTTTAAGTTTTCTAAGTTTTTTAAGTTTTCAAGTTTTCAAACTTCTAAGTTTTCTAAGCTTTCTAAGCTTTCTAAGTTTTCTAAGTTTTGTAAGTTTTGTAAGTTTTCTAAGTTTTCTAAGTTTTCTAAGTTTTCTAAGTTTTCTAAGTTTTCTAAGTTTTCTAAGTTTTCTAAGTTTTCTAAGTTTTCTAAGTTTTATAAGTTTCTTAAGTTTTCTAAGTTTTCTAAGTTTTCTAAGTTTTTTTAAGTTTTCAAGTTTTCAAATTTGCAAGTTTTCTAAGCTTCCTAAGTTTTCTAAGTTTTCTAAGTTTTCTAAGTTTTCTAAGTTTTCTAAGTTTTCTAAGTTTTCTAAGTTTTCTAAATTTTCTAAGTTTTCCAAGTTTTCCAAGTTTTCCAAGTTTTCCAAGTTTTCTAAGTTTTCTAAATTGCCTAAGTTTTCTAAGTTTTCTGAGTTTTCTAAATGTTCTAAGTTTTTTAAGTTTTCAAGTTTTCAAACTTCCAAGTTTTCTAAGTTTTCTAAGCTTTCTAAGCTTTCTAAGCTTTCTAAGCTTTCTAAGCTTTCTAAGCTTTCTAAGCTTTCTAAGCTTTCTAAGCTTTCTAAGTTTTCTAAGTTTTCTAAGTTTTCCAAGTTTTCTAAGTTTTACAAGTTTTCTAAGGTTTCTAAATTGCCTAAGTTTTCTAAGTTTTCTGAGTTTTCTAAATGTTCTAAGTTTTCTAAGTTTTCTAAGTTTTCTAAGTTTTCTAAGTTTTCTAAGTTTTCTAAACTTTATAAGTTTCTTAAGTTTCCTAAGTTTTCTAAGTTTTCTAAGTTTTCTAAGTTTTCTAAGTTTCAACGTTTTCAAAGTTTTCAAGTTTTCAAAGTTTTCAAAGTTTTCACAGTTTTCACAGTTTTCATAGTTTTAAATTTACGTGCGGTAAGTGATGAACATGGCGAACGGTTCCACCAAGCCATTTCTGCTATGGAAAAACGGTATCAAATGGAGTATCAATTTGCTTGGTGATTATTGCTGGACATTGTTGAGAGATACTTCACGAGCAACATATACGTTTGTTCGAGTGCTTATTAGTACTCCCGCACAAATATCCTTATACTTTACGAGTGTAAGCAGCAAATAAAATGCCTTATTGCAAGAAAACCGTGGGTGATAGAAAAAGTCGAATGCTATTTCCGGCCTTTTGGGTACGTTTTACATAACAACCATCTTGTGTTGTTCATGTCAAAAAAAATTATTTTAATTTTGTTCACCAGTGTATTAATGAAATACTTGAATTTTGCGTTATTTTCATTTTGCACAGTACAATGACGGGTATATCCACCTTTCCGTGACCGCTATCAATATAATCAAAAGAATTCCCGATTCCGGTCGATCCAAAAACAGGAAAAGACGATACCCACCGCCGATCTTCAGCAACATCGCAGTGCGTATACCATTCTCAGATACGATCTCTCGATTACCAACGGCGGCAAATGTAAGACAAGTTCCCTGCCGATTCGGACAGCGTTCAATAAAATAACTCAGCCGCAGACGATAACTTATCCTCAAAATACTTTTGTACAATATAAATTTCGATGTAATCTGTTTTCAATAAAACGGAGGGTTGCTGTAATGCTACGTAGAACTGGTTTTCTGGGGAATAATGCTTAGATAAAGACGCGCTTAATGCTTGCAAAGTACGTTTTGTGTGCACAGTTTGAGCAGGTATTGTATTCGAGACGGTTCCAGTATCGTATAATGTTTATTTACAGTTTCTTTATATCCTCATTTTTCAGTTGAATAGTTGATCATTTAGTACTGGAAGAGTCACTGGATGCGGTACAACATACTGATCAAGTTGCTTTTATTATTGCGAAAATTATAAAACAGTCACCTTCATGAATACCATTAACAAAAATCCTTATCAACCAATAAGCAAATAACTAATGTTTTTCCATTCACAAATCCAACAAGAATTTCCTGTAGACGACGTTGCTCTGTCCCAGATAACTTCCAGGCAAACAAAGATTAGATTCCTTCCATATACACGAAAAAAAATCATATACGGACGATGCGACACGCGACACAAAGCGTCTAGTGTGCTCTGGTGCGGGCAGATAAGCAAAACAAACGAACAAATGTTGACGTTTCGGAGACAAGGTGGCACGCGCCGGGTGTTTGTAGACGCGTGGGTGGAAGAATCGTTTCTTTGGGACCTGTTCCATGCTCCGTAACTCAAGGTGCTCCTGCACCCTTTTGGTACATACCAGGAAGTGCAAACAGTAGGAATTCCCTTTTGCAAGGGAATTCGCGATAAACATTACAGATGCGATTCGAAAATATGTCGCACATTTGCAAGGATTTTCTTTAAGGTCGCACATCTCTTTTCTCCCCACGCCACTGGCAGAAGAATTTCGAAAATGGGATGTTTTTTGGATGTGATATAGATTTTCAAAGTTCAAAGTTTTCAAATTTTCCGAGTTTTCAAAGTTTTTAAAGTTTTCAAAGTATTCAAGGTTTTCAAAGTTTTTCAATGTTTTCAAAGTGTTCAAAATGTTAAAAGTTTCCAAAGTTTTCCAGTTACTCAAATTTTTCAGTTTTCAAAATTTCCAAAGTTTTCTAAGTTTTCAGAGTTTTCAAAGTGTTCAAAGTTTTCTAAGTTTTCTAAGTTTTCTAAGTTTTCCAAGTTTTTCAAGTTTTCTAAGTTTTCTACGTTTTCTACTCGTAAGTTTTCTAAGTTTTTCAGTTTTTAATTTTTTAAGTTTTCAAGTTTTGTAAAGTTTTTTAAGTTTTCTAAGTTTTCTATGTTTTCTAAGTTCTCCAAGTTTTCTAAGTTTCCTAAGTTTTCTAAATTTTCTAAATTTTCTAAATTTTCTAAGTTTTCTAAGTTTTCAAAGCTTTCAGTTTTCAAACTCTTCAAAGTTTTCAAAGTTTTCAATTATCAGTTATCAAAGTTTTCAAAGTTTTCAAGGTTTTCAAAGTTTTCAGTTTTCAGTTTTAGAAATTTTCAAAGTTTTCAAAGGTTTCAAAATTTTTCAAAGTTTTCAAAGTTGTCAAAGTTGTCAGAGTTGTCAAAGTTTTCAAAGTTTTCGAAATTTTCAAAGTTTTTAAAGGTTTCAAAATTTTTCAAAGTTGTCAAAGTTTTCAAAGTTTTCAAAGTTTACAAAGTTTACAAAGTTTACAAAGTTTACAAAGTTTACAAAGTTTACAATGTTTACAAAGTTTGCAATGTTTTCAACGTTTTCGAGATTTTCGGAGTTTTCGAGGTTTTAAAAGTTTTCGAAGTTTTCAAAGTTTTGCATGTTTTCGAGGTTTCCAATACTTTCAGTTTTCAAAGTGTTCAAAGTTTTCAAAGTTGCGAAGACAATAGACTATCTGTCTATGTATCTGTCATCTTTCTATTGTTTGTATATCAAATAGTGTTATTCTTGCAACATAGGATCCCGACATATAACCTTTATTCGAAACATTGTAATCAGGCACAATAAATCAAACTGACGGTGAGGAAAAGTTTTTGTCCACACACTTGACAAGATCAGCAGGTTCACTCGATATATTATTCTCAAAAAAGTTAGCGGCTAGCTTGCCAGCGCAGTGCAGTAGCGAAATCATCTCTGGGTCCTCCAGCGATTTGTCCTCGAGCACGTTTCGATCGAAAAAGTCGCGGTGACGGTGATAGAAATCCATCAAACATCCGTGATTCACCTGATCAAGACCAAGTTCGGAATAGTGGTTGCTGATGTATTTAGCCAGTCCATTTTTATCCTTGGCGAACTCCCAAGTTGGGTCGGGATCCATGTTGGCCATGTAGGTCATCATTGAGGTGAAGGGTTTTGGTCGGTAGCATTTCTGGTAGTAGTCGACTATAATCCTCGTATATTCAATATTCTTGTAACACTGAAAGTATAGGATGACTGAACAGTGTGGTCTAGGAGGTTTCCATTGATAACCTGCTACTATTCCAGGAATCGAGGGCCATTTTTACTAATTAAACAAATGCAAACTCCAACTGGTCTGCGGTGTGTCGTCACTGACACACCGAAGAGCAGTTCTACCAAGAGAAGACAGACAAAGCGGTTAAATTAGAGACAGAAAGGAGACCACAAACACTGGCGTCCACAAAACAAATTATGGTATCTGTTGTTCTAATGGGTAGTTATAGAAAATCAGTTTTCAAAGTTTTCAAAGTTTTCAAAGTTTTCAAAGTTTTCAAAGTTTTCAAAGTTTTCAAGGTTTTCAAAGTTTTCAAAGTTTTCAAAGTTTTCAAAGTTTTCAAAGTTTTCAAAGTTTTCAAAGTTTTCAAAGTTTTCAAAGTTTTCAATGTTTTCAAAGTTTTCACAGCTTTCAAAGTTTCCAAAGTTTTCAAGGTTTTCAAAGTTTTCAGTTTTCAAAGTTTTCAAAGTTTTCAAAGTTTTCAAAGTTTTCAAAGTTTTCAATGTTTTCAAGGTTTTCAAGGTTTTCAAAGTTTTCAAGATTTTCAAAGTTTTCAAAGGTTTCAAAGTTTTCAAAGTTTTCAAAGTTTTCAAAGTTTTCAAAGTTTTCAAAGTTTTCAACGTTTTAGAGGTTTTCGGAGTTTTCGAGGTTTTAAAAGTTTTCGAAGTTTTCAAAGTTTTGCATGTTTACGAGGTTTCCAAAATTTTCAGTTTTCAAAGTGTTAGAATTAAATACCCCCACGTTTATCCAGTTTAGTTTGACATTGCCAAGAACACCTTACAGTAACACTGAATTTATCAAAGAAAAGTTCTTAGCAAATACCGTAAATACACTGGCTTAATGGAGAGTATAACCTCCCATTCTCAGGAAGAAAACATTCGAAGATTAGTAGTCCATACAAAGCTTTTGGTAACTTCAATAAAACAATAAAATACATGTTTAATATTGTGATCTGAAATTATATTTTTGCGTCAAAATCGATTGACAATTAAAATACGAAATGACGTAGTCTGGGTTAATTTAGATTCCAGGCAGAAAGAACGAACCTACTCTATAACAGCTTCCATTTTATTTAGGCGTAGGATATGAATTTGAATAATGTAGTGAGAGACTGGCCAAGGGTGTCTGCGGTTGAACAAAGTCATGCGACAGGTTCTTGCTTTAAAAATGGCCCTAGTATGGTTCCTCTAATAAATTTCATATGAACATATCTTACCTGAACATATTGGAAGGATACTAACAATATTACAAATACACAATACTTAACCAGCATTGTGATACAAATAGTGGGTTACATAAGAATGAGCGATTATAAAACATGCTCGTTGTTTTAGCAGTAATATGTCGACACGTTTTCCAGGATTTTGCAGCAACAGTTATACTTTTATTAGTCGTTATACACTTGCGCATATCGGTTAAATATCTTTTTGTTATATTATTAAAGCCTGCAATTTAAAAAACACGATTCAACCCAATGCACAATTAGGCTTTCCTTGGAAAAATCCTCAGATTGAAGCAATCAGAGTGTCCGTACTTTACCTTGAACAAAAAGCGTTCTAGCTCTCATCCGGTTTCGATGGTTGCTTTTTTTCTAGGGTATGCAAGTGTTGATCACATACCTGGAAGTCCGTTCAATTTCAACCTCCTTCACCTTACCTATATTTTTTATTGAAATACATCTTTCCTGAAAAGCATTATGTGCTTTCTTACTTTGGATATATGAAATACAAATAATAGAAAGCGTGCCGTTAGTGTAAACATTACGAAAATCAATAAAATTCTGATAATTTTATTCGATCATCGTGCTTTTTGATTATAGATCTTGTCAACATTCATTCCTAAGCTATTTTTATATATGCATACATTATTTAATATGAGTGATAAATACAGCTGTGAAAACTGATAACAATTGTTTATTCAACTGAAAGAGTTTATTGATGTACCTGGAAAATACCTGACTGTAAAATGCTTTTTTAATGGTGGTATTTTGTGTAATATTAACCTTGGCGTACATAGACGGAAATCTGTTGGAAATTGTTTCAGTAACTATTCGTGAAGAGCTGTTGAAAAGCCTCCCTTTATGTAGTGATGAAATAGTAAACGTGTTCATTGAATTCCTGCTATGTTTAAAGACCGACCAAATTCATGGATTGAGTCATTGAAGATGATGGAAGACTGAGCAAAATATAGAAGACATTGTTCCAGGTGTTTTAAGAAAGGTAACGTTTTGAGAAACAAAATAGTTGTAACTAAACTTGTATTTTCAGCAGATTTAACAGACAACGACAAAAGCTAATTATAATAGCTAGAGGGTAATTGATACAAACTGAGGCTTGCGCTGCTGCAATGTTTATATCGATGTCATTCAAGGTTTCCGAGTTTTCAAGGTTTTCAGTTTTCAAAGTTTTCAAGGTTTTCAAAGTTTTCAAAGTTTTCAAGGTTTTCAAGGTTTTCAAGGTTTTCAAGGTTTTCAGTTTTCAAAGCATTCAAAGTTTTCAAAGTCTTCAAAGTTTTCAGTTTTCAAAGTTTCCAAAGTTTTCAAAGTTTTCAAAGTCTCCAAAGTTTTCAAAGCTTCCAGTTTTCAGTTTTCAAAGTTTTCAAAGTTTCCAAAGTTTTCAATGTTTTCAAAGTTTTCAAAGTTTTCAAAGTTTTCAAAGTTTTCAGTTTTTAAAGTTTTCAACGTTTCCAACGTTTTCAAGGTTTTCAGTTTTCAAAGTTTTCAAAGTCTTCAAAGTTTTTAAAGTTTTCAGTTTTCAAAGTTTTCAGTTTTCAAAGTTTTCAGTTTTCATAGTTTTCAAGGTTTTCAAAGTTTTCAAAGTTTTCAAAGTTCTCAAAGTTTTCAGTTTTCCAAGTTTTCAGTTTTCAAAGTTTCCAAAGTTTTCAAAGTTGTCAAAGTATTCACTGTTTAAAAATGGTTCAACTAAACTTGCACTTTTAGCAGATTTAACAGCTAGAGGGTAAAGAATACAAACTGAACTTTGCGCTGCTCCAATGTCGATGCTGTACGTTGCGGACGTCATTCCATTAACTTTTGTTTTGAATTTTCTGTCTGACACTATGAAATCTAATATGAAACCTCTAAAGTCTAAATAAGATAATTTTTCCTCGATAACTCTAGTGTGTATTGTACCGAAAGCTTTCGGTAGTTAGTAACTGCTACATTCCGATCACTGCACCCTCGGTAAACCGTCAAGTTTGGGGCTTGTTTCATTCAAATCACGCAGGTTCTGCTGGTATATGTGCTCTATGTTTAAAACCATATCTCTAATCCTAATCACATTACAGTACTGATAAGAAGCCTGGCGCCCTCTCCCTCTGTTTACAAACGAACGCGTGGGCGGAAGAAAACAACCTCTTTCAGACCTGTTGATTTTTCACAGATTGTCAAGGTGTTCAAGTCCCCCTTCTTCCTGCAATAAACGCAAATAACGCCCACGCGTTGCAAGAAGGGTTCAAAACTAAAAATGATTTCGACAGAAACATCTTTTCGTGTGTACTCTTTCGGCATATGGTGCCATGCGTGGGCGTATGGGCATATCAACAATACGCTCTTTATGTAGATGGATCACGGTAAATACGAGTATGTATTTGTATCTAGATGCATAGGATGGTTCAGATGGTTTGTTGCGCACAGTAAAGTAAGTAAATAAACTTTTGTTTCCAAAGGCAACTTGATATTATTTTGTTTTTATTAAAATTAAAGCTAACGAATTTTGTGCTAAAACTTTTAGGACATACTTTTTTTGACAATGAATATGTATTTATTGTTGTATGTATATATTAAGGGATATTAAATGAAATGTCACAAATTCTTTCTGAAGGTACTAATTGAAAGATTGACCACATTAATAAAACTTGATAAGAAAACAGTAGATGTACAAACAGGGGTATGTGCATCATTTTGTACAATTCCTAGTGACTATTCTTTAAGCTGGCAACAGGGTCCTCGGCCGAAGCCCAACATTGATCGGTTCCTTAGATCGATGAGCTCTTAATACCACAAAACCTAATTAAACCCTGTTTTTTCACACGTTCAGTTATTAGTTTGTACACGGTTAGAACATTAATGAATTCCTTCGAGGACTATTTAGCGATATTTAATGAATCATTACCGCAGTTTGGGTGTTCCGGAGCTGTTAAACTTTGGAGGTCGGACAGACAGAATTAATCGATTTTGGTTCGGAAATTAATTATCTTCGATATGACCGAGGAATTTCTCCGTCTGGAAGAAGACACTGCTTTAGTTGCTTATCACTTCAACAGTGTCAGTGATGAGAACGGAAACAGTATCGTAAATAAGGCATAAGTTAGTTATGTCCCCGGTTTTTCTGCTACAAAAAGGAGGGTAAGTAGAATTGTCAAACGCACCATAAAAAATGTAACTGTGTACTTACAATGTAGCAACTTGTACTTGAGTACGTAAAGATGGTGTCAATATTGATCTGTATTTTTTCTACCACATATACAAGTTTTCAAAGTTTTCGAAGTTTTCGAAGTTTTCAAAGTTTTCAAAGTTTTCAAAGTTTTCAAAGTTTTCAAAGTTTTCAAAGTTTTCAAAGTTTTCAAAGTTTTCAAAGTTTTCAAAGTTTTCAAAGTTTTCAAAGTTTTCAAAGTTTTCAAAGTTTTCAAAGTTTTCAAAGTTTTCAAAGTTTTCAAAGTTTTCAAAGTTTTCAAATTTTTCAAATTTTTCAAATTTTTCAAAGTTAAGTTTCAAAGTTTTCAAAGTTTTCAAAGTTTTCAAAGTTTTCAAAGTTTTCAAAGTTTTCAAAGTTTTCAAAGTTTTCAAAGTTTTCAAAGTTTTCAAAGTTTTCAAAGTTTTCAAAGTTTTCAAAGTTTTCAAAGTTTTCAAAGTTTTCAAAGTTTTCAAAGTTTTCAAAGTTTTCAAAGTTTTCAAAGTTTTCAAAGTTTTCAAAGTTTTCAAAGTTTTCAAAGTTTTCAAAGTTTTCAAAGTTTTCAAAGTTTTCAGTTTTCAAAGTTTTCAAAGTTTTCAAAGTTTTCAAAGTTTTCAAAGTTTTCAAAGTTTTCAAAGTTTTCAAAGTTTTCAAAGTTTTCAAAGTTTTCAAAGTTTTCAAAGTTTTCAAAGTTTTCAAAGTTTTCAAAGTTTTCAAAGTTTTCAAAGTTTTCAAAGTTTTATTATTATTCATTCATTTATATTGTTACATTTCTATTGATCTGTATTTTTGCACACAGAAAAAATAACTTCTTCAACTTGATTTATTTGGCATTTCTTACATCAAGAATCAAACTATCACATTCTCACAGATGTATCAACACAAATACGTTTTCTTCTGGTGTCTCGAACACAAATATGAATGTACAAAGCTAAAATAACAGGAAATGTGCGAGTGAATTCTTTTTGGCTATGCAGGCATTACACTTAACAAGAAAGAAACCAGCGAAGACCTTAATAACCCTATAACAATGCTCCACCCTCGAGACGTTTAAAAGAACTTCCTCGTCATTCTTTGCGTTCAACCCTACCGCCCTTAAACTTTGTCTTCAAGAACGCTAATAGTTTAATGCAGTCAGCGAGTGAAAAAAGCCGCTTTTTAAAGAGCTGAGAAAAAATTGAGGGTTTTTGGGGGCAGTACTTGCTGTCAATTTAAATGGAAGAAATCAATTTTCAAGTATTTAATCATCTCAAGGCGGAAGGGTTGCTGCGTCTACTTTCGAATCAAATTTAGGTTCTTAAGATCGTTAGACGACCTTTTATACAGGGTATTCCAATTTCCGTGAGTACCAAATGTTTGTTTAAGAAAACCGAATATATTTTACAAAGCTTTAGTGATCTATTTCCAGTATTTTTCTTTGCTGTCTCTAATGATATATACCGTACTGATGATTGCTAGAAAGCATGAAACAACACTTGAAGCCCTAACACTATCTGATTGGAAAACTAGGATGCATGGTATCCACAATTCTACAAGTCACTAATTACGTAGATTAGATCTATCCTGATCTGATTCTTATGGAAATAAGCCACTGGTGTTGTTATGGCACCCCGTAGGATAATCTAGTCCGGTACGTTTCAGATCGTTCGATATTCTATGCGATATGCGGTCGGTTTTTAACACTTCGAGGCGTTGAATGGTCGTCTATCTTCGCGCCTACGATGAATACTATCATTAGACGCTGAAGGCGCCTTTTGCCTAAATGGTTGCTATAAATTTTCTATCCAGCATTTGAATAATTCTGCATGGCATTATTTCGGGCATTTGGATAGCTTTGACGTAGGAGAGCGATTTGATTCAATCAGCATACCTTGAGGGTTGTTTATATCTTCCGAATCATCCTAAATCATGATGGTTTGGTTTCATTCTAGCATGTCGTCACCACCTTTGGAAATAA